CTTTTTTAATTCTTCATTTTCAAATAATAATTGCCTATTAAGATTTTCTAATTCATCAATTCTTTTTAAAAGACTTTTATATATTGGATCTGGTAAAGAAATTTGAATTTTAAAATCAGAAAAATTTTTTTCAAATAAATCATGAGCTTGCAATTCTTCTGACCTAAAAAAATTGAATCATTTGCTTAAAATTATTTAATATAAGAATCTTTAGCGATAACTTGATTGTAATGTCTTTCATATAAAAAATAATTTTTTAAAAAATCAAGTAATAAAGATAACTCAAAAAAATACTTAGCAGCTTCTGTTATTCTTTTTATTACAGCATCAGCTGATGCATGTCATTATCTTTGATCCTCTTTAGTTTCACATTGTACTAACTGACTTTCTGAATATCTATTGGCAAAAGGACCAAATAAACAAGGTAAATTTTTAGCATTTTGTTTTGAATTTATCATTATTAATTATAAAATTAGCATATATAAAAAGCTTAGTTTTAAATTTAATTTGAGAGAAAACTATTTTGTAAAGTCTTGTGGATCTGCGTAGATTCTGAATCTACATATTCAAAAACATATATTCTAGCATTTAGTTTTGTAAAAAAAAAAAAAAAATTTTATAGATCATTGAAGTTTTACAAATTTCTTATTTAAAATGATTGGCATAATCGGCAGAATATTCTGGAATCGATTCCAAATTTGGAAATACTCCTGACTGTATTTTATATTTATTATTAGTATCACATTTTCTATCTTTAGTTTTTATTATTTATTCAAGAAACTTAAAATTTTTTTAGTGAAAATTCTTATTTGTTATATTTTATTTATCACATAATCATTACATAGATAATTTCTTAAATTTTTTATGTTGGTAAAGTAATATTAATATGAATTAAATTATGTAAATAAAATATATTTAAATAATTAAGTAAAACTTTAATATTAATAATTGTTAATAATATTTATATAAGTAAATTATTAATAAATTTAATAATATATATATTTTATATATATAAATAATTAATATTAAAAATAATATATTTTATTATTATAAAACTAGAATTTGATTTTAAAATATATATTTAAATAACTAAATTAAATATTATAAATTAAATTTTTAAAATAATATAATAATTTAAAAAATATGTATATTAAAAATTTATTTAATGTACAATTAATATTATATTATTTTTAATTATTAAATATATAAAATTTATTTATAAATTTCAATTTTTTTTAAAAAAACATTAAATTAACAAAATTTTTTGATTAATAAATATATAATTATTAAATAGGTAAAATATATAAATTGAATTTAAATTATAAAAAAATAAATTAATATAAAATTTAACTAAAGATATTAATTTAAAGAAAATTTCACAATAAAAAAAATTTGAAATAGAAAATAATAAAAAATATTTAATTTTCTTAATTTTTACAAAAATTGAATTATTATCATATAATTTATAATAATAGTATAAGTATTTTTATATATATTTTGAGATTTATTACTATATATTTTTGAACGCCTTACAATAAAGCTATTCTGATTTTTAGCTATTTATCTAAAATTTACTTTCAGTTAAATATTTATATAAAAAGACAAAAATTTAATATAATTTAAACTTCTTAAAAAAAGCTTTTGATACCTATAAATATACTTGTGATTAAGATATTATATTATACTTTATACAAAAAATTTTAAGAAATAATTTTATTAATAATTTTAACAATCTAAAGTGATCAGATTAAATAAAATATGTGATAATTTATAATTCTAGTAGAAATTATATTTAAATTTTAAATTTAGATAAAATTATTAAATATGAAAACAATTCATTTAATTAATTTATATAGAAAATTAAGCATTGAAATTGATTTTTTTAGAGAGATTTATTCTTCTTTTACTTAAAATATTAGACAAATTGTATCTATTTTAAATCAATGTTATTTTCGATAAATTTTGATAACATTAGACTTTTTTTGAATATTTATCTAAATTCAATTCTTCTTTCATACATTTGTAGGATTTTTCAGTTATATTAGTATATAATAAAATAATTAGACTTTTTTTTTTGTTGAAGTGCCAGAGAACATTATGATCAGCCAATCATATTTGTTGCCTAATATGTGCATGCATATTTTGTGATTTTCTACATCACATATTCCTGAACAGTTGCAACCTCTGAACATGCGTTCCAAATCGTAATATTGAAAAAGGTTGTTTTGAGAGGACATAGTATTTTATTTACAAATTTTTAACAATTTTGTCATATTGTAATATCTCAATTAATGATTTCGTTTTTATATTGTAAGGAGAAAAAACCATCATTAAAAAATAAATAGAGATATAAATATTTTCATAGCATTCAGTTCCAATCCAATATGCTAAAGCATCTCTCCTTCATTATCAAGTTCAAGACGCATCATGATAATAATGAAATTGGAAGAATTTTGGTTGTATGACAATGCAATGAGTGTCATAATCTGGGTTACAAGTCCTTTGGAGACGGATTCTACAGCATGATTATGTGTACGATAATTTGTCTTTAGATATTTAGTCGGAGATAGAATCGAGGTGAGTCAGAAGATACTAAACAAATTTAAGATTTTTAGTTTTTGATGTAATTAGATACAATCTCTCCAAAGTATTAATTGACTAAAAATTTACAGATATTTTAATTATTTAATTATTAATGATCTGTAGTTCGAGTTTCCAGAAATCCAAAAAATCATGTGATCTAAAATAAAACTAAAACAACCGTTTAGGTGTCGTTTCTGTCCTCTTTTATAAGGCGAAAGTTCTAATTGGCATCAATGAACTGTATGATTATCTGCAAAGGTGTTGAAAACAATCTTTACCAGGAAATAGGAATAACGACTAGTTTTGGAGCTGGAATACGAACGATTAACACCTTTCGAAAATTTATAAAGTCATTTGATAGAGATCGGTAATTCACCATTAGCAAGATTACATCATCATGATTGACCTAACGAATGGTTTATTGAAGAAACATTATCAGTTTTAATGTGGATATTTTTAGTTATTAAAATACTTTCAATGATTCATTTCACTAATTTCCCAAGAAGGTAACCGCAAAATTTTGAAATGAAAATTTCCAATTATCAAGTAGAAAAAGGTTATCATAAAAAATTATAATGATTTTTCAGTATACGTCTTTGGTAAGAGATCTGTCCAATACTTCGAAGATAATCGAAATATGAATTTGGATGATTATTAGTTATTATTTTTACAAATTTTTATGTTATTCACATTGCTAGAGTTTTTTTTTTTTGAAGGGTGTATTTGTGATTCAAACAACCAAGTTATTTTTGAAGGCTGGATTTCTTTTTTCCTGAAAATTTATGATCTTTTTACGAATTATAAATAAAAAAATTTTTATACGCCGTTTTAAAGTAATTTTTTTAATTAAAGAAATGTAAAATGATTCCAATAGTTTGTTACAACGAAAAATAAAAAAAAATTACAATGTTTTTAATACAAGCAACTATAATACAAATATCGTGTGTGTGTGTGTGTGTTTTTTATACCTAACGCGTACTCTTTATACACCATCAATTTAAGATGATTCAGTCGAAGAATCATTATCACTTGATGTCATGGTCGTGTCGCGTTCATCTTTTATTTCATCGATCTCGACACTTGATGTTAATGATTCTCCAAGATTTAATTCAAGTTTTAATTGAGATTCATCGATTTTTGATTCAACTGCTAATTCAAAAGTTTCATGTTCGGATTCAGATTCCAATTCAGAACTCTCCACCTTTTCATCATCATTTTCATCATCATCTACCTCTTCGGAATCTTTAGTAGAAGACCCTTCCAACTCATTTTGTTCAGATAATTCGGCTTCTAAAATAAATAAAATAAAATTATCATTTTTTTTTTTACAAATTTCAAACAATTCTTATATGTACCATTCCGAAATTGATCACGAAGTTCGAATTCACGTGATAATAAATCGACAAGAGGTCTGCTAGTATAAATAGCATCAGGGTGAATTTCAAAATCCTCGCGCTTAAACTGAAAGTCTGAAAGATCTATATCATTCCAACTTTTAATGGTAAGGAGGATTTCATTAGCATTCGGTCTATTAACAGGTTCCGTATTCCAACATTTTTGCATCAAATCCGAATAAAATACGGGAACTTGATCCGAATCGAATTGCGGACGTAAACCCCTTTCACAAATGTTAAAAATCAATCGTGGATCATGAGCGCGATCATAAAATGGGGGAAATCCGGTTATCAACTCGAACATTATCATTGAAAAACCATAAATATCAGAATCTTGAGTAAATGGCCAACCGTTTAAAACCTCGGGAGCTACATAAGGAATTACGCCAAATATCTCTCCGAAATTTTGATGATTACATAATCCAAGGTCACTTATGTTTAAAAAGACATTCGTTCCTTTTGAATGTAATAATAGGTTACCAGTGTGTAAGTTTTTATGAGTAAGACCTTTCGAGTGAACATGTAATAAAGCTTCCGCACATTCATGTAACAATCGTAATTTATCTGACCAGGTTAATTCCGAATAATTTTCTTGTAATGAAGTACGAATGTCTCGTTTATTATGATATTCAGTTACCAACATGTAACAATTTGTCTCGGGGTCTAGAGTCATTCCGTAAAATTGTACGGTTCGTTCACAACGGGATTTTTTACGTCCATAATGACTTCGAAGCTATAAATAGTTAATCATCATTAGTCGATTGATCGATATCATTGCAGCTATTTACTGCGGGTGACAATTTTTTTTATTACATTTTAAAGTCGTTACCTGGTTGATGAATTCAAATTCGATGTTGTCCGGAGAATGAACGAGTCGTTTTAAAACCACTTTACACCATTTACGCCTGACGTACAACATTCTTTCATTGTTCCAATGATTTCTTGGTCCTTTCAACCAAATAGCAGTGAATACACTTTCATTAGCCAAAAGTTGTACATTAGAAAATTGATTAAAAGGAATCCATTCCCAATAAAATCTATGATCATACGATTTATATTGCGTATTTCTAATAAATTTATTCAATAATTCATTATTACTAGTCCAATCTGAAAAATGCTTTGCAAATTCTTTTGATTCACACGTTTTGCACCAATTGAGTGATCTCATGTTCTTGCATACATTACACTCGCGTAAATCTTTTGACGCAATAGTGTTGTTAGATGATTTTATGGTTTCTGCCAGGTCTGATGAAGTGGTTTTTATGCTCACTTCCGTATCAGAGTTGAATCCATCTGAATCATCCGAGTACGTGGTCGAAGGTGGGATTTTAAGTTCCTCATTTTTGGAAGCTATCGTATTGAATTGTAGGAATAATTAAAAGAATAAAAAAAAAAAAAAAAAAAGTCTTTAAAACATTACATGATTTCATATTTATTATAAAATGGGTTACCCTTCGTTGAAGAACCTAATAATCTCAAAACTACAAGAATTTTAGTCTTCCAAGTTTGTCGCGGTTGCATATTTTTATTAAATTAATAACAAATTCAATTAAATAATCCTGTTTTTTTTTTTTATTATTTTTTTTAACGGAAAGGTTGAAAAGAAAATTTCTTTTATACAAAAAAAAAAAAAAAATGTAGTTCATAAGAGTTAAAAAAGATGTATTTAAATTCGAGAAAGGTAAATGATTAAAGGGAAGGATTAAAAGGAGAAACGGAATGAAAGGACAAATGACAATGAAAAAAAAAAACATAAATATATCAACAATGCTAATGTGGACCTTACACACGATTATTTTCTTTACTTTTTTAAAAAAATTGATGATCCACAAGAAATAAATTAATTTTTATTATTTTTATTTCAATCTATACACCAAAAATAAACAATGTATGCATCAAATCAAACCACGACGGGTTATATTTACTCTACCCAAAACAAATTTTCAACATCATATCAATTTTCAATCACAATGAACTGTGTATGAATAGAATCATACAATCACTTAACCTTAAACATTGCATATCATTTTAAAGTATAATTCGTCCCACTTTATCTCTTTAGGAATAGTTTATGAAAAAAAATGTCTCGATTTGGAAAGTTCCGCTCGAGTATTTTCTTCTAAAGCCTTTTTTTTTTTGATAAATTATTTTTTTATTTGTTTATGGCTAATTTTCTTGTTCCCTACAAACAAGGCTCGGGACGTTACATAATCGATTTTATTGTTAGTATATATTATTTCAATATTTCTCCTAAAAAGTCTCTAATTTATTTCGAATCGTGCGATATTATGTGTTACAAATATGATGAGGATCTTGCTTATCAAGGAAAGAAATTTCTACACGAGGAGTGAATCTCTTTTATTGATGCAAAATAGGGGCTTCTTCTGGAAAAGAGAATTGATTAATTAAATGTGAGTCATTCTTGAAATGGTAATGTCTATTAAGCTATTTGGAAGGATCCATTTGTGGTGATTGATGATGGATTTGATCTGGGCTTATGAATGTTGATTTGAAAAGGCTTAACCTTTCAAGTTCACACAATGGATTTTTTATATTTTTGATCAGTTAGTTTTTATCTCTATTTATTTAGATTCAAGTGATTTTCACAAATATTGATTTCACGAAACTTATTTGTCATCAGTGTAGTGCGTATATCATTAATATACAAAAACATTTAACATCTTTGTGCACTTTCCGCACAATGGTTAGGAAATTATTTTCTTGATAATAATCTAAGATCAAAATCAGTGATCTCAGTGATTTCAAAATTTTATCTGTCGTATCTTTTTTTTTTTTTGATTAATCTGACGATGATTTGCGTCGTCACTTTGGTGATAAATAGACCTTTTTTTTTGTATGTACACTCCCCGGTCAAAAGTATTGGACCACGTGATTTTCGTTATACTAATTGGCGTAATTTTTGCCGATT